GCTGATCTCCTGAGAGAGACTGTGTGAATGCAGTCAGAATAAGCTTGTTTATATATAAATGCATGAACGTTTGTGTTGTATTATTTAGCTGTGCTGTGGAATGAAGTCCTTGCTCATGATGCTGATATTATAACCTGCAGAAACTACGAAATAATCTTCTGTCTTTCTCTGTCTCTTTATAAGTATTAACCCACGAGGAGGGCATTAGTGGCCTTACCCTGAGCAGAGTGCTTTTGTGTGAGCTCTAACATCACACACCATCTCCTGTTTAACCTTACTTACCAGTTGGCAAATGTTGATGTCTGATGCTTGGCAGGAAACTTCCTTACTCTGTCAGGGCTTTGTTTAGATCAACTGGATGACCAGTTTAGGTGAGGATCACCTCAGGCTTTGGGCTGGCAATGCTGGAAGCCCTGGGACTGGAAGGACCTGAGCCAAGAGTCCCCAGATCGCGTCTGTAGACCTAGACCGCCTCTCCCTGAGCACCATCAGTGGATGGATGTTGATGGCTGGCAAAACCTTTGGTACAGCTTCAGCCTCTGCCACGCTTCTCTAACTGCCCACTGAATGTGGATGGATTACAGGGACAGGAAAGAACCTGAGCCCAGCAACGGAAGAGTCTGTACCCGAGAGGCCTCTTTAGTTGCCACTGAAGAAGAGAATAGAGCAAAAGAATTTTCAAAGCACCGTCTGTCTTCTTCCTTCTCTCCTAACTTGCAACTTGTTCGCAGTTAGCATGTTGCCCCTTTACTCCGGTTGTTTTAATACCTGTTCTCCTGAGTGCTTGTGTGCATGTTGAGCTGAGTCTCCTTTTCAGGTGTGTTTTAACAGCTGTCTTCAGAATGCCTAATATCAACCTTTCTGCTACCAGTCCCTTTTCTGTCCCCGCTCCCTCCCCAGAGCGACACAGGAGGCTGGTGTGTTCTGTGAGTGTCCTGCCTTTCCTCTCGATTTGTGCAGTTACGCCAGAAATTTTCCACTTGTGTCCCAGTCCTGTTTCACTGGTTTGTCAAAGGCTTAAGTATTTTCTCTTCTGAAAGTCTTGTGTTACTTCACTCATCTTTCTTGGTTTATGTATGTTTTATTCCTCCTTTCTGGGGTACCTCGTGTCAGCTTTGTAGAAGTACCTACTCGGCCATTCAAGTCCTTCACGGTTACCTGGACCATCTTTATGTGCACCTCACTCTGTGCTCAGCATTTGTGCTTTGCTGTGAGATGCTGCTTAACACGTTGGTTTCATTAGACTAACTTCGCCAGAGAGGCCGTTGACATGTTGAGCTGGTAATCCTTGATGGGTTTGGGAATCAGAATTGCAACAAGAAAATAGTCATTTTTGTCTTTGATATTGTTTGTTTTCTTCTTATGCTTCCCTTTCTGTTGGCATCCATACCAGTGCAATTTTGCTCTTATCCTAGACAGTTTTTTCTTATCCTGGATAAATAGCATCCTTGGGCCAAGCACTTTTAAATGGAAAAGCATATTTTCTAAGTTTTATTTTAGTGTTGGATGTACAGTCTTTTCTCTCTGCACTGCTGGAGGAGAAGCTTTTTTCAATTCTCAGTTTCTCTATTGTGTTCCGTTGGGTTTTAATGAAGAAACAGAACATATTCATCTGTTTTAACTTGGATGACTTTGTTTTCTTCAGAATTGGGAACAGGCTTTATTTTGTGTATTTTTAGCTCCTGAAAATACTTTGTGTCTAGGCAGGTTGTCCAAATCCATAACCAAGAGGTCATCAAAGGCGCATGGGTGAAAGTCCCCTGAAAGGTGCCAACTCAGATTAGCAAAGGGGTGAGAGGGAGAGATATTGGAATGTGTCAGTCCCTTGCTGAGGTACCGCTGTCTGTGTCCCTGTGAGCTGAGGTGATCCTTCATATGGTTTGCTGCATTGCAGGCTTTCTGTTTGGTGTGTCTAATCTGCTCTTGTGCTTTTGGAAGAAGTGGAAGGGGTCCTGGATGTTTCTCACCCTCTTCCACTCTCAGTTCCCAGTTTCCACCTGAAGATGTGTGTAAACGGTACAGGAGAGCGCTCAACTTGTTGGTAAATTAGAAACGTTGTCTTGATAATATAATTTTTGCTTCCTCCACCCCTGCTTCTCCTTCCTCTTTGTTCCACAAGGCCTAAGGAAGAAGAACCTGTCCCCTGGAGCTGTGGAATCGGATGTCAGGGGAATAACGGGGGTGGATTTGTTTGGGACAACAGATGCGGTTGTGAAGCATGTTCTTGAGGTACAGTGTCAATGTGTGTGTGCCGTACAGCCTTTTCAGATTTATTTAATGAAATCTCTGTGATACAGATGATCCTCTAAAAGCCCAGGAAAATAGCAGAGGAAAAAAGAGTTGAAACACCTGACTCGGCTCTATAGAGTTATATGCTCTTGTTGATCGTGTAGATTACTTTTTCTGAGTTTAAAATCTGAAATCTGGAGATGTTTGCAGTGTAACCAAACAGATACGGCTTTCTCTGTACAGCCAAAAGCTCATTGAATAGCAGATGTTATTACCTTGCGTTACTGGAGTAACAGAAGAGATTATGGTAGCAACAGCCTTCTGTAAAGGCTTGTTAAAGCTAGGAAGTGGCGCTGCTCTGCTGCCCAGCTTTGCTCTACTGGTGAAGAATGGTATCTGCAAAGCTTGTTATTGCAGGCATCTATAATCTTACTATCTGTAAGCATTTGGGATGAGCAGGATGGTGCATAAAAATAGTGAGAGCTGTGTCTTGGCAAGCCCGTCCGCAGTCTTTGTTGCTTTGTCCTTCTTTTGCTCATTCCATTCAGTCACCAAATTGCTTCAAGTGACTGTTTTCTTTTTGCCTGTAGGGCCATGATCGTGGGGTGAACTGGGCTGCCTTCCACCCCACAATGCCACTTATTGTGTCCGGAGCTGATGATCGGCAAGTGAAGATCTGGCGGATGAACGGTAAGAGGATTCTCCAGGGGGAGCCCACAGGGAGAAAGAGGTTAAGAGTTGAAATTTATGCTTGAGTATAAGCTGAACCTGGAGGTAATTTACACTTTGCAAACATGTCTGTGTGATAGAGTGGTAAATAATCCCAAGCAGCATTGGCTTTTGCAGTTTGAGGAGAGCTCAGTTCTCTAGCAAACACTTCTAGCTTCTTATGATTTGACACTGCTGAGCAGACGCTTGTAGGAGTAGAAAAACTTGACTCTGAAGTTTTTTGAATATGATGGAAAAAGAAAGGGCCATGATTCCAGACCCAGAAGCCCTCCATCAGGAACGGTTGTGCTTTTGTCAGCTCAGTTCAGCTGAACTCTATACAGTTCTTAGCACCTCTTTAGTAATCTGGCTTATCTGTCTCTCTTAGGTGAGCTGTGCTAGTGGTTAGAGAGACATTATAAAGTGCTTGCTGTGCTTCTGCTATGACAGTTCTTAACCTGTTTAAGCGTTCTTTTCCTCATTCTTTTCCACTTCTGGTTAGAATCGAAGGCCTGGGAGGTTGACACTTGCCGGGGACATTACAACAACGTCTCATGCGCTGTCTTTCACCCGCGACAGGAATTAATCCTCAGCAATTCAGAAGACAAGAGCATCCGTGTATGGGATATGTCTAAACGGTTAGTGCTTGTCAAGCATCTGACTTGATCACCCTATGAAAGTTTTTACGTGTGTGAAAGACCTACCATTATTCTTGGAGAAACTGAACACTAGCAGTTCTTCAAACATCAGTGCTAGTGTTTGGTAGTTCATGAGTGAGAAGTCACATTTTTCATGTTTTCTGGCCTTTGAGACACATGTTAAGAGCAAGGTTTGGAATTGTCTGAAAGCAAGTGGAAGAGGGCTGACTAGTCTAGTAATACTGCTGCTCAAAATGTGTTAAATGAATATATTCTTTGGCAGAAGGCTTTGAATACAGTGTTTTGAACTCTCAGTGGACTCCTCATGCTGAATGCTAGACGTGGTCTGTATGGCAAAGCTTGGGATCTTCATTTTGGGTACCGAAGTTTACACCGAGGTTTCCGTTTTCTTTATATTCCTTATTCCTTCTGTTGCACATTTAGCACGGGTGTCCAGACCTTTCGGCGTGATCATGATCGCTTTTGGGTATTGGCTGCTCATCCCAACCTCAACCTCTTTGCTGCAGGTAAAAAAAAAGCTCCTACTCGATGTCTGACAGGTTGCTGTGAAGAGAAAATGTATTCCGTGTAGGAAATCCACATAGGATTTGCTTTTCTTTAGCACACTTTGCAGAACACACACTTGCAGATGCTTTTATTAAATTTATCATAGGAAAAAGATCCTTATTTAGTGGAACGCAATCTCATTGTATCAGCTGCAGTTCCAAGCTAGAATACGATAGCCTCTGCATTAACTGGCTGAGTGCTCTGAGGCTAGGAAGGGATGGGACAGATCCTAGGGGAGCCCACACTGGAATATTAACACTTAAAGAAATGCACAACAGCGAGGCGAAGGGTTTCTAGAAGGGTCTCAGATCTTAGATCTATTAGGAAACCTAAAGCGGGCTGGGCCCTTAGGAAAGAAGTGGAATCACTTAATTCAGTCAGGCTGAGGAGTGACAAACGTGGCTGGCAGTCATCAATTACGATTTTTGTTGCCTCTTTCTTGGTTTGAAGGGCTTGGTAGTGTCATCTTCATAATGAGAAAAAAATACAGGATTTAATTCACATGTGTGAATTCTCCCATGCCTTTTTCTTAGGCCATGATGGTGGCATGATTGTGTTCAAACTGGAGCGCGAGCGGCCTGCATATGCTGTGCATGGCAACATGTTGTATTATGTGAAGGACCGTTTCCTCCGCCAGCTTGACTTCAACAGTTCAAAAGATGTTGCTGTCATGCAGCTGCGAAGGTAGGAGATGAGTGCTCGTCCTGTTCAGAGAGGTGCTGCCAGTATCTTGAATCCCTTGTTAGCTTCTTGCTTATAGATAGGTCTGATTGTTCTATTCACATACCTCGGTGTCAACGGACTCTTTTGTCAGATCATAGAATGGTTTGGGTTGGAAGGGACCTTGAAGATCATCTGGTTTCCACCCCCTGCCCTGGGCAGGGACACCTCCCACCAGCCCAGGTTGCCCCAAGCCCTGTCCAACCTGGCCTTGAACACCTCCAGGGATGGGGCAGCCACAGCTTCTCTGGGCAATTTGTTCGAGTGCCTCGCCACCCTCAGAGTGAAAAATGATCTTACAAAGCCTACAAGTAATTTATTAGGTCCATTTTCACCTGTGCATAGATACAGATTTTCTTTTAAGTAGTTCTAAGCTTCAACTAAAGCGCCAGCTTTCATTTTTAAAGCATTGATGTTCTTACAGTGTTTCCAAGTGGGTTTTGATTCAGGAAATTAATCAAAACTGAGCTTTTTTGGTACTTGGTATATTTCAGAAATACAAGACCATTTATCAGAATGTCACTTTGGTAAAAATAATCTTGCTCCACTCTAACTTTCTCTTTTCTCCATCACTCTTCTTCAGTGGTTCCAAGTTCCCTGTGTTCAACATGTCATACAACCCAGCTGAGAACGCTGTCCTTCTCTGCACAGTAAGTCAGTTCCGCTGCGTAATGTGCTAGAGAACCTTCTGCGAGGCTGTGAATGATGGTTCTGTGAAATCCTCTCTCAAACTGGGTTTTTTCCCCTCTCTGCAGAGAGCCAGCAACTTAGAGAACAGTACTTATGACCTATACACCATTCCCAAGGATGCAGACTCCCAGAATCCGGATGGTAGGGATTTCTTATTTCACATTAATCCTTCTGAACGTTTATTACTGCGTAGCTCTGCCCTCCTCCACTTTCCAACTCTGTGTGTGTGTGTGGTGTATATATAAAAAAAGGCTTAATTTCTCTAAGCCTCTCTTGTTGGACTCTTCCTCCGTGTTTCCCAATGCCCCCACAGCACACATCATTTGGCAGGTTTCCTGCTCACTATATCACACGATACTGACTTGAAAAATTCATGTTCATCCCAAACTTTTACTGCTACAAATATATATTTTATAATTTTGTTATTAGGAACTTTCCGTTTTCCCTTTCGACGCAGCAGGCAGCCTTCCTGGCTTGTCAACAAAGATGGATTTCCACCAGATATGTTTTGTTCTAAGAGGTTTTATACTCTGAAAAGTGGCTGTAAAAGTGACAGTGCCAGAGTGCCAGTAGTCATTCTTCCTCTCGGCAAATTCCAGATCAGTTTTGTGCAATTTACAAGTCAAAGCATGATTTAGGAAAAAAAAATAATAATTCTTTCTCCTAACTATGAATTCCATTTGGGATCTGAAACTCCAGCTGGTTCCTCCTGCCTCTGTCGTCACGGCAGTAAAGAATATGAAATGAGTGGGAGTGATGAATGAGTTAGACTGGAATCCAGCTCACTTGTTCACAGATTTATTGATTTCTGCAGGTCTAATGAAGGGAAGATTTCTTTGCTGAGCACAGTCAGCAGGTGGAGAGAGAAAGAGAAAGGCAGCTTTTTAGTAACTTTACATAGATTAAAAGTTACTGAATATTTTTCAAATATTCAGTTTCGTTGAGATGTTCAAAGCTGACTTGGCTGGGGACGCCCAGCTTGTCACCCTTTAAATGAGGAAAGGGCTTATTCTTCTTCTAGAGGAAGAAATGTCTAGACCTCATACAAACCATGTACTTTTAATGCATTTTCAAGAATAGCATAAAGTTCTACTGGTTGATATGTATCTTCTCCAAGAATCTTCTATATATGCGACCTTCTGATGATCTCCAGGACTATAATGTAGGTATTTAACATATACCTTGGAGTTGTCATCCTTGTGTCCTTCAGCTTATTTACCTGACCTACAAGGGTAGCTAAGCTTTAACTCTTTAATAGTCTCGTGGATAATATATTTCATTGATTTTTCTGCCTGATCTACAGTCAGTGTTAAAGACTTAAAGCCCTTAAAAATGCTGAGTGGTGGAGATTCAGAAAAACGGGTGAAGCTGCCGTCAGAAAACCCCAAGTGGAGCTGGGAATTGAATTCAGACGAGTCTTTCTCATGTTGGGTGGTAAATGAGGGCTGAGGGGTGAGGCAGTCAGGTTTAAATCATCGTTTGTCAGGATGTAGTTCTGCTCCGAATGGCACTGTGCGTGGTGAAATAGCACTTGGTTAGTGGGTGAGTCTCCAATACCGCTCGTGTTGAGCAGCAGAACTGGTGAGAAAAGGGGCTGAGAACTAAAAGAAAAAATTATTTTACTGAAACAGCAGTGGCTCTTTCCCCTCACTTCTCTCTTCCCTTCCATTGCTTTGAAAAGCCTTCTCCACATCTGAAGCGCGTCCTGTGGTACAGTGCTTTCTCTGCTGTCTGACGTGCGGAGTGCTGTGATTGTATTAGCATTTTAAAACTGGGAGAACAGCTGCGTGCTGGGGAGAGCGCAGCCTTTCTCCTCCAGCCCGTTAGATCGGTTTGCAGGGGAGAGAGAGAGAGATGGGGGGGGCTTACATTGAAGCTGGGACCCTTGCTGCTCCATTCGTTTGGCCAGCGAGGCTCTGCTCGTTAGCTTGACAGACGGTGCTGTCGCCCTGGATGGCCTGCTCAGCGCCAAGCAGTGGCGTTGGCGGTACAACCAGCCACTTGTCTTGTGCCTTGGCTGGAGAGAAGGGCTGGCGCTGGCCACACGGAGATCCAAAAGGACATGGCGTGGGGGGGTGGAGGAAATGAGTCTTGTGAATAGCCTCAGGTTAAACATGAATTAGTAGGAAGCAGCTACAACAGCCAAGATGGGATCAAACAAGACTGACTAATGTGTTGCTGTAAGAGCCTGCCAGAGGTTTTATTCACTGCCTGCGTTTTGTTCTCCCTAGCCCCTGAAGGGAAACGTTCCTCCGGGCTAACAGCTGTGTGGGTAGCTCGTAACCGCTTTGCAGTCCTGGATCGCATGCATTCGGTAAGGGGACGAGCTTAATAGGGTCATCCTTTTAACGGGGTATGTTGTCATTTGGAAGCACACAGATGGAAAGCTGGGAGATTGGGTTAACGGAATTACTGGAGATCCAAGTAGACTGGCAAAGCATTATCAATAGAGAGCGGGCTGCAGACATACATGAAGAAATATAATGTGGTGGAAATGTAATGAGTTGAAATATTATTTAACTTCTCTGACACTAAATCTTAGCTCGCTTGCTGGAAGCCTGAGTGAGTTCAGGAATAAAAGCTGACCTGAACAGGACTGGGAAGCCCCCCAGGTCACTTTCATAGCATGAAAATAATGGGGAAATGGTGAAAATACAGGTTAGATTTTTAATAAAGCTCTTTGTTCTCACTTGTGGCGTGCAATAGGAGAAAAAAGGGGGAAAGAAATCACGGAGTTTTCCCTGCTTGAATTACCTTGATGTGATGGGGAAGAAAAGCTCTTTGCCACGTGCAGGATATTGTATTTTTTCTTCTTTTTTTTTTTTTTACCTTTGTTTGATTTTTTTTTTTTAAATTCATTTTAGCTCAATAAATTCAAGTTTATTTCGTACCTGTTTGTTATTCCTCCCTGCCTTCCCTTTCTCCACTTGTCGTTCTCCCCTCTCAACTTCCTCACTTCCTTTTTCTGTCTACACTGTGTTCTCTCTCACTTTTCCCTAATATTTGCTTTGCTCATATAGTCAACATAGAGGGGGCTTGCAGATGGTATCAGCCAGCTAGTAATGACAGCATTGGGGCTGAAAAGAAGGGATATGCTGTGCCTGCGCCCTGGTAAACTTGTGGTTGGGTTTTCTAGCAGGATAAAGTCTGATCCTGCTTTGAGAAAAGCTGCAGCTCTTATTTTGAGCTCTATACAAAAATTCTGAGTTAAAATATTCCTAGGTTTCTGTATAGAATCTGCCTAACTGTCCTGGTCTCTTCTATTTCCTCTCGTCAAATGGCAGATCCTAATCAAAAACCTGAAGAATGAGATCACGAAGAAGGTGCAGGTGCCGAATTGTGATGAGATTTTCTATGCTGGCACGGGGAACCTGTTACTGAGGGATGCGGACTCCATCACCCTCTTTGACGTGCAGCAGAAGCGGTAAGATCCAGTCTGCTGGGAGAAGTTTTAATATTGTAATCCTGCTGGCGTACACCCTCTGGGGACAAGTAATAGCTATTAATGCACTCCAGAATTTAGCATCAGCTGCAGGCTGCGTCAGACTGATCCAAACCACGGCTAACAACTGTTACAAAGAGCAGAGTGTAAACATAGCCAAGGTGCAATTTATGCTGCAGGCATCGTGCCATTGATCACAGGGACATGTGCCATACCCTTGTAAATCCTGTGACTGCAGAATCGGGTGCTATAAAAGTGGAGAGAAATCAAAAAACCCAAACTCAATCAAGCTAAGCTCGCCTGATGTCTTGTCTCTTAGGTTTTCGATCTGCTCAAAATGCTCTTTTGGTAGCATGTTTGTGCTGGTATACGTGTCGCTAGCCACAAAGAAACAGGCAAGGCATTGGTGCTTTTCGCCACCTTCATAGGTTTGAGAAGGTTCTGGATTATCTGTGGCTAGATAACGGTGTACGCTCATTGCTTACCTCCCAGAACTTTCCTCGTTTCCTCATTTATATGCTTTTGTCTTTCTAGTATAGTTGGGAAAGTTACAAGTAAATGAAACAAAGCAAATGCTGCTTGGAAGTACCTTATTTTCCTCATTCTGTTAAATCCATCCCTAAAACCTCCTCAGAAATCTAGGTTTTTAAGTCAATGGTGACCTAAATATATTTGTTATTGCATAGGTATGACGAGAGGTTTGTTTTGCAGTACTGGAGACTGCAGAGACACTGAGTCCTGCTGCATGATTTTATAGCAAAAAGGGGCTTCAGAGAATCTATAAATTGGGTTCAGGGTGTTGAGTTTTTGGGTAGTTACTGTACAGCTTGATCACAGAGCTTGCTGCGGAGAGGTGTTGTTCACCTCTCTGATGTCAGTGCTGTCTTTTCGCAGAACTCTGGCCTCGGTGAAGATCTCCAAGGTGAAATACGTCATCTGGTCAGCAGACATGTCCCATGTAGCTCTGCTGGCTAAGCATGGTAAGCGGGGGGGCACGGTGTTCCACCTGGATCCTAGTGCACAGTAGCTCCTCCCTTGCTTGGGGGCAGAGTCCCTGCTAGAGAATCCACCCAGTGCCATGGCTAGCAGGGAGCGTACAGCTGAGGACACTCACAGTGTGGGCCCTTCCGCTTCGTCTCTTCCGCAAAACCTTTCCACAAACTTGTAAAACAGAGGGCTTCTTGGACTCCTCAGAAAGGATCTAGCTAATCCCTTTCCTAAAACAAAGGTAGATGGTGACAGTTTTTTCATATTTTCCATCATGTCCTTAGCGTCTTTTGAATATAGTCTCTATTGCTGGGACTACGGAGGAGAGAAGCTGTAATTCAGAGCCAGATGTTTAACAGCAGAGGGTTCCCTACCCTTACTCTTTTGGCTTTCCTCTCCAGCCATCATGATCTGCAACAGAAAGCTGGAGTCTCTGTGTAATATCCATGAAAACATTCGCGTCAAGAGCGGTGCCTGGGACGAAAGCGGTGTTTTCATCTATACCACCAGCAATCACATCAAATACGCTGTCACCACGGGGTGAGTCTGGGAGTCGGGCGCGGAGTCCTTGAACTTGCAGGCCTTGTGCAGACTACCGTAGGGTTTTTTTTTTTTGCTGACACCAAAGCTGGTACTTATGAAACAGCACTTTTATTACAGCGTGAACGTACCCAAAGACAGCTAGAGCTAAATACTCATGTTTGGTTGCTTATGCCGTGCAATGGTATTTTATTGCTGGGCTGGATGGCTGCACTGTTCATCTGAATGGGGTTTGTTTTTATCATCCTGGTTAAAATAACATACAGAGCATTGAGCCTTCTTTGAGGTAGGAAATGTAGTCATATAGATGTGTTGTGTTGGCACGCGTGTCATGTGTGTGCTTTGTGTTGGCAATAGGGATCATGGAATTATCCGCACCCTGGACCTGCCTATCTACGTTACCCGCGTGAAGGGGAACAACGTGTACTGCCTGGACAGAGAGTGCCGCCCCAGGGTCCTCACTATCGATCCCACAGAATTCAAATTCAAGCTGGCATTGATCAACAGAAAGTACGATGAGGTGAGGAGACGTGAGACACCCTGTGCTCTTCCTTGACCTGTACCTGAGGGTAAAGGGAAGTCCCTCGCAAGGGGTGTTGACAGCTTCGGTTGCCTGGGCCTTTTCTTTGCAGGTGCTGCACATGGTGAGGAACGCTAAGCTGGTGGGCCAGTCCATCATTGCCTACCTGCAGAAAAAGGGCTACCCAGAGGTTGCCCTGCACTTTGTCAAGGATGAGAAGACCCGTTTCAGCCTGGCACTGGAGTGTGGCAACATTGAGGTGAGGAGGCAGGTGGCGCTGTGAGAAAAGCGTGTCCTTTGGGGCATCACTTGAAACCTTTACTTTTGCTGCAAGGAGGAGGAGTATTGGGAAGAAGTAGTATTACACAGAATCACAGAATGGTCAGGGTTGGAAGGGACCTCTGGTGATCGTCTAGTCCAACCCCCCCCCCAGAGCAGCATCACCTACAACACGTTGCACAGGATGGCGTCCAGGCGGGTTATGAATGTCTCCAGAGTGGGAGACTCCACAACCTCTCTGGGCAGCCTGTGCCAGTGCTCCACTACCCTCAAAGTAAAGAAGTTCCTCTTCGTGTTAAGGTGGAACTTCCTATGTTCAAGTTTGTGTCCATTACCCCTCGTCCTATCACTGGGCACCACTGAAAAATGTTACCGTCCCCCTGGCACCCTCCCTTTAAGTATTTGTAAGCGTTAATAAGATCTCCCCTCAGTCTTCTTTTCTCTAGACTAAAGAGACCCAAGTCCCTCAACCTTTCCTCATATGAGAGATGTTCTGATCCCCTAATCATCTTTGTAGCCCTTTGCTGGACCATCTCCAGCAGATCCCTGTCTTTCTTGAACTGGGGAGCCCAGAACTGGACGCAATACTCCAGATGAAGCCTCACCAGGGCAGAGTAGAGAGGGAGGATGACCTCCCTTGACCTGCTGGCCAAACTCTTCTTGATGCCCCCCCAGGATGCCATTGGCCTTCTAGGCCACCAGGGCACGTTGCTGGCTCGTGAGCGTCCTGTTGTCCACCAGGACTCCCAGCTCCCTTTCCACAGAGTTGCTCTCCAGGAGGTCAGCCCCCAACCTGTACTGATGCATGGGGTTATTTCTTCCCAGGTGCAGTACCCCACACATGCCCTTCTTGAACTTCATAAGGTTTCTCCCTGCCCAGCTCTCCAGCCTGTCCAGGTCATGCTGTAAGGCGGCACAGCCTTCTGGTGTGTCGGCCACTCCTCCCACTTTTGTGTCATCAGCAAACTTGCTGATGGTGCGCTCTATCCCTTCATCCAGGTCATTGATGAATATATTGAACAGGACTGGACCCAGTACTGACCCCTGAGGGACACCACTCGTTACTGACCTCCAACTAGACTCTGCGCCACTAACCACAACCCTCTGAGCTCTATCTGTCAGCCAGTTCTCAATCCACCCCACTGTCCATTCATCTAACCCACACTTCCTAAGCTTTCCTGTGAGGATGATGTGGGAGACAGTGTTGAAAGCCTTGCCAAAGTCAAGGTAGACAACATCCACTGCATCCATCAACTATTAGTGGAGAGTGATAAGAGTTGCGGATGACAGCAGCCTTACTAAGGTGCAGGCCCTCAGCTGGGGGCATGATGTAGGGCAGTGATCATTGCAATCCAGTGCTTTCCATCATGGGCATTATCAACAGAATCCTGCAGAGAAAACTGCTTTCTGCAAAGCCTTTGTGACCCTGTCAATTCTCTTGTTAGATTGCTTTGGAAGCAGCCAAAGCTCTGGATGACAAGAATTGCTGGGAGAAACTAGGAGAAGTGGCCTTGCTGCAGGGAAATCACCAGATTGTGGAGATGTGCTACCAACGCACCAAGAACTTTGATAGGCTCTCCTTCCTCTATCTCATCACTGGCAATCTGGAGAAGCTTCGGAAGATGATGAAGATAGGTGAGTGCCAGGGTGGTGACAGAGGAGAATGAAATAAGAGGATCTGAGTGCCATTCCCAGAGGGAATTCCCAGAGGGAATGAGTGGCATCGTAGTGGAGGCCAAAAACAGCAAAGCTATCATGACTTTCTTCTTTTCATTTAGCTGAGATCCGTAAAGATATGAGCGGCCACTACCAGAATGCCTTGTATCTAGGAGATGTGGCAGAGAGAGTGAGGATCCTGAAGAACTGTGGGCAAAGTGAGTAATAACAGACTAACATCTATCTCTGGGCTGGGGAGAAGCTGGAGAGGTTGTTGGGATGAACAGCAATTTTTGGAGGCAGATCAGTGTAATTCCTTACTTGAGAAACTGAATCAGACGAGCAGAAGGTCTCCTGAGAACTCAAATATCATCCAGGAGACCTGGATCAGCTGTAGAGCATGTTCAAATGATCAGTCGCTGCCTGCGCATACCACTCCTAAATCCGGTGCCACCCCTAAAAGTGTGATTCTACACCTTGATATGCTGCTGATTTTTCCTTTGTGACAGTGTGACCATGTGCGCTGGTATAAGTTTTCTTTCTCTAGGCAGTGAAAACCAAACGTTCATATGAGTTATATCTCCTTTCAGAGTCCCTGGCCTATCTCACAGCTGCAACTCATGGTCTGGATGAGGAAGCTGAAAGCCTGAAGGAAACATTTGATCCTGAAAAGGAAACGGTTAGCAAACTGACCAATGCTTCCTACATCGTTACAAGAGCTCTAGAGTTTGGGAAGAAGGCGACAGTGGGATCTGGTGTTGGTGTGACTGGCTAGGCAGCTCCTTTCTGGGAGGGAGGAACTGTCTCCGTTCAGTCACCTCTTCTCAGGCTCAAGACTGTGCTGCTTGGAGGTGGGGAGGTCAAAGAATGGGATTTTCCTTATGTGGCCTTTAACTGGTTTCTGCTCCTCTCTGCTCAGATTCCAGACATTGATCACAATGCAAAGCTGTTGCAGCCTCCTGCTCCTGTCATGCCTCTGGATACCAACTGGCCTTTGCTGACTGTCTCCAAGGGGTTCTTCGAAGGAACAATTGCTAGCAAAGGTATTGCTTTGTACTTGGAATGTTGCATTAAGCTGAATGGAGATACTGATCTTTGTGGCTCCTGAACTGTTGCTGCTAAGCTCAGTTTTTTTAGTGTTAGGACCAGAGGTTGGAATCTGGCTTGACGTTTACACTGTCTTTGGCAAATCTCTCAAATCTTCGGCCTTTTAGCACTAGATAAGACTTGACAATTGGAGGGGAGGGTGCTGACATAATTCTTCGCTTAACACCTGACCCACTCAGAGATGAGTAAATAAAGGACCCTACTCTTTTTATAGGCAAAGGGGGGGCCTTGGCTGCTGATATTGATATTGACACTGTTGGCACTGAAGGCTGGGGAGAAGATGCGGAGCTGCAGCTGGATGAAGGTGGGTGAATCCAAGAGCTTTTCTTGCATAAGTTTACGTGTGTGTCTGGGTAAGAGCTCTGACTATTTCCCCTCTGCCCCCTCCATGCAGATGGCTTTGTGGATGCTGGAGAAGGCTTTGGAGAGGAAGGTCTGGGTAAAGGACAGGAAGAAGGAGGTGGATGGGAAGTTGAAGAAGATTTGGATCTTCCCCCTGAACTGGTAAGAGGCTTCTGGGAGGCTTCTTAAGTAGCCCAGTTGTAGTTACTTGGGAAGGGAATGCGAGCTTGTGGTGGTGGAGGTGGGGGAGATGTGTTATAGGCTTCTTCAGAGTCACCACAGCTGTGGCCAGCTCTGATTTCATCTGGGTGCTGGAAACTTCTACACTAATCGCTGCTCTATGTGTTCCCCCAGGATGTTCCTGCTGGTCCAGCAGGAGCAGCAGAGGATGGATTCTTTGTGCCGCCCACCAAGGGCACAAGCCCAGCTCAGGTAATGGCCCAAGTCTTCGATTGTCTTTCTCAGAAACTTTCTACTTCGGTGCTGCTTTTTTGGGGGGGGGTTCAGTCCTTCTTTTTAACAGTCATCTGTGAGCACAGCATAGGAACTTTTTTTAGGGGAGTTAGGGGTTATAAGGGTAGGTAAGACAAATGTATGCATATGCACAATTCCTCTTGCATATGTTTCTCTTCCGTTCTTGTAGGTGTGGTGTAACAATTCTCAGCTTCCTGTTGACCACATTCTGGCAGGCTCCTTTGAGACAGCAATGAGAGTAAGTTTCCCCTGGAGTTCCTAGGGAAAAGATTGTGCCTTTGTCCCCATGTATTTTCATCTCTGATCCAGTCTAAAGCTTTGTTTTCTGTCCTTTTGGGAATCATTTTGTGCCTTGTTTTCTCTGGGTATAAAACACGAGGTGCTGTGAGCCTGGGTGATGTCTGTGCAGCCTTTGTACAGTCCTGGCCAACTTTTACTCAGCAGATCCATGTGTGTCTTTCAGCTCCTCCATGACCAGGTGGGAGTAACAAATTTTGGACCCTACAAGCAGTTGTTCCTGCAGACTTATGCCCGTGGCCGTACGACCTACCAGGCTTTGCCATGTCTCCCTACCATGTACGGATACCCACATCGCAACTGGTAAGCGATCAGGTTAACTCCTTTTCTGTGCTCTGTTCTTTGTGCCGTATACCTCCCAGGCCCCTTGACAGTTGTAGTCAGAAATGTCTCCTCCCTCTGTTGTGAAGGGAGGAACCTTCCTGTTTGCTGAATATAAACAGGGAGCATTCTGTCTTTAGTGGGATTTTTCAGCTGCCTGCTGTTAGATGTAAAGATATTAAAGAACTGTTTCTTTTTTTTTTTTTTTTGACATTTAAACCAGGGTGAGGCAGTTGGGATGCTTTGTTTTCAGGCAGTAATGCTCTGCCTCCGACACAGCTGGTCTGAGGCGTCTAGAGTACCACAGGTGTGTTTTTACAGTGGTGCCTGGAAGCTGCTGTAGCAAAATGAGCCAGACTTCCCAGCCCGCGCTAATGCAGGGAGAGCTGGGCGTCATGGGTAGCAGAATTATGGAAGCACAGATGTCTTTTGTGCTAAGCTAATGGCAAAGAAAACCAGTGTGGCCCTTGGTGAAACCATTTCTGACAAGTTGCAGTTGAACTGACGATGTGCATGTTTTTGCTGGCGTCTGCGGTGGTCCCGTTTGTACCCCCAACCCCTGTTTGGTGCCCCCCAGGAAAGAAGCTGGCTTGAAGAATGCCCTCCCTGCCGTTGGCCTGAAACTCAACGACCTCATCCAGCGCCTGCAGCTCTGCTACCAGCTCACTACAGCTGGTAAGTTTGAGGAGGCCGTGGAGAAGTTCCGCTCCATCTTGCTCAGCGTGCCTTTGCTGGTGGTGGACAACAAGCAGGAGATTGCTGAGGTGAGAGGCAGACTCCTCCTGTCCGTTGACTGCGTGCCTGTGGGGCGGGAGGCCGAAGGCCTGACTGTCTCCCTTTCTGAAAGGCCCAGCAGCTGATAGCCATTTGCCGGGAGTATATCGTAGGACTCTCGATGGAGATTGAGCGGAAGAAGCTGCCCAAAGAGACCCTGGAGCAGCAGAAGCGAATCTGTGAGGTACAGAAACTGAATTTCTTCACTAAGAGGGAGATGAGGGGGATACTTTAAACCCTTTGGTTTTAAAAAGGCATTGCGAATCCTGAATTCTGTCATTTCCTCCTTTAAAGCAGACTTGGGAGGGGTTTCTTGCAGCATTTTCAGGGCATCCAGTTGTTTACGTGGCTGGCAGTGATTGTATCCCCATTTTCCCTCTTCCCTAATGCAGATGGCTGCCTATTTCACCCACTCCAACCTGCAGCCTGTCCACATGATCTTGGTGCTGCGTACTGCTCTCAACCTCTTTTTCAAACTCAAAAACTTCAAGACAGCTGCTACTTTTGCCCGTCGGCTGCTGGAGCTGGGTCCAAAGCCTGAGGTGGCCCAACAGGTGTGTCTGTGAGATGCACGGGCAGAAATATCTGCTGCAGCAGACTCTATTTGGTCTGCTGCCTAGCTGGCCCTCGGGTCAACGTGGTGGCTTTTTGCAGACTCGCAAGATCTTGTCGGCATGTGAGAAGAATCCCACTGACACCTACCAGCTCAACTATGACATGCACAACCCCTTTGACATCTGTGCCGCCTCTTACCGACCCATCTATCGTGGCAAACCCGTGGAGAAGTGTCCGCTCAGTGGAGCCTGCTACTGCCCCGAGTTCCACGGCCAGATCTGCCGTGTCACTACGGTAAGGACATCTTGACTTCTGTTACCACCCACTCCTGACCCGTGATGTTTCCCTTGAGAATCCCTTCCAGCAACTTGCCCTGTGCTCCCTACACTGACTTGGCGTGGGTTTTGGCTCAAGTTGAACATCGGAGGGCATGTGGAGAATTGTGAAACACTGTAGTGTAAGTGCTTCAGGGACTGAAACTGCAGTGATTGGCAGTGGACATTCTCAAGAACCATCTAGGGTCTGAATGCTGCATACAGGGTTGGGCTGTTGAATTGCTTTTTAGCATTAAGGGAGGTGATTCTTCCCTTCTACTCTTCTCTGGTGAGACCCCACCTGAAGTACTGCGTCCAGCTCTGGAACTCCCAACAATAGGAAAGATGTGGACCTGGTGGAGCGGGGCCAAAGGAGGCCCTGGAGATGCTGGGAGGGCTGGAGCCCCTCTGCTGGGAGGACAGGCTGGGAGAGTTGGGGGGGGTCAGCCTGGAGAAGAGAAGGCCAAAAAGGGGAGAGCTCAGAGCCCCTTCCAGTGCCTAAAGGGGCTCCAGGAGAGCTGGGGAAGGACTCTGGATCAGGGAGGGGAGCGATGGGATGAGGGGGAACGCTTTGACACTGACAGAGGGGAGATTGAGATGAGATATTGTGAAGAAATTTTTCCCTGTGAGGGCTGTGAGCCCCTGGGGCAGGTTACCCCGAGAAGCTGTGGCTGCCCCATCCCTGGAGGTGTTCAAGGCCAGGTTGGACGGGGCTTGGAGCAACTTGGGCTGGTGGGAGGTGTCCCTGCCCAGGGCAGGGGGTGGAACGAGATGATCTTCAAGGTCCCTTCCAACCTAAACCATTCTATGATTAATTCATCTCCCTTTTATTCCTCAGGTGACGGAGATCGGGAAAGATGTCATTGGGCTGCGGATCAGCCCACTCCAGTTCCGCTAGGGCATGCCTGTCCTGGAGAGGTGTGAGATCGGAGGGAAATGGTCCCGTTTCACAGTATAGTGTGGAAACTTTCACCTCCCACCATTCCAGTTTTTAGTTTAGTCTCTTCACTGGAGCCGTGCCTATGCGGTGTCTTACCTGCTCTTCCCCACCCAGGAATGCTGTAGTGAGACTCTTCGCTGCTTCCAAGTAGTAGCAACTTGTGCTTCTGTTTCCAGATCCAGCTGATGTGAAGTTGCTATGTCTCCAGGCAAATTGTGAGGGTTTTTGAAGGCAAATTTAGTTGAAAGGTGAATTTGCTCCAAAGGGTAAAGGGTGGCTCTTGCTGAGCCCCGGTTACCACACAGTGCGCTCTGTAGAAGCTGCTTGAGAGGCAGCAGCCACCTCTTAGATCTTTCAGTCTTGGGCTCCCGAAAAAAGCGCCCAAATACCGTGCAGCAGCCTGGCTCTTGCAGGAGTGCAGCACTATCTGGAACCAGGGCCAGTGCAGAGCCTGGCCCTGCTCGGGGGGGGCGGCTCTGCTTCCCTGGGAAGTGGCAGCAGCGCAGCTCAGTGTTCAAGTGCTAGTGTTGACTTTGTGTTTTGTTGTCCTGGCAACATTTCCTCAAATAATCCGCTTCTCTCATGAATAAAGTAAATTGACCGTCCTGGTCTTGTTTTGTAGCTCAGTTGGTCTTACTTAGATAAAAGAGAGATTAGGTTTAATTTCCTCTTTTCACCTTCCCTCCTTCCCACTCTTAAGCTCTCTGACTTGAGGGGGTTGAATTTTCCAGAAAATGGAGACTTTAGTCCTGAAATAATTTATCACGCCACCAGGGGTTGCTTCTGCTAATTATTAGTGTGTAATTGCCATTGGCAGTGTTTGAATTACCCTTATTGGTAATGCTCCTGTCTCTGCATTTACCTTGTGCAGTTGTACCCTTTAGTGTTGCTGTACCTTTCCCCGTGGTGCTGAAGGGGCTGGAGGATCTCCAAAGCCAGACAGGTCGTGGGCTCTGGCAGCATTGAGGGTGAGACCGCGCGTGTTCTCACGTCAGTGGAGAAGCGGAGGGGGTGACCTCGAGCTCCTGCTCCCTCTGGGGCTGGACTGCTTTCCCCCCGCTCCTCCCTCCTGAAATAAACCCGTGCCGTACGCTAGGATTTTCAACCGTTTATTTTCTACATAAAAATGAGGAATAGGGATGGACCTATCTTGAGGGCATGGCTTCCAGCTTTGCATCGCTCTTGTTCGAGGAATGTTCACAGTGGTGAGGGGAGACCCAGCAGCCGGGTCTAGGGGCAAGGGGTCTTAACCAGGCTGTCGTGACAGGCCACCGCAATGCCCCCGATGAGGTTCAGGAACTCAGGGAAGTCTAGCTGCCCGTCGCTATTCAAATCGAGTTTCTTCATCATCCTGTCCAGGACTGCTGGGTCCTTCTGGTTCTGCAAAAGACCAAAAGAGATGGGAATTGATGTCTGGCTGCCCCTCGCTGATATTCCCCCACATCCCACGTATGGAATTGCATCCCCCATGGAGAGGGTTTGGCAGGGGGAGGCAGAATTCAGGCAGGTTGGCTCTGATCGGGCCACGCTCTGACTCCTGGTGGGACCGGGTTCTTCCCATTGCCCACCCCAAGGCGCTCCTGGGGGCAGAGGCTTTAACCGCTGTCCTGGTGGCTGAAGCGCACGTGCCATGAGAGACTCTTCTGACCTGGACTTTGCTCACCTTTGTGAAGGCGGCCAGCTCGGTGTTCATGAAGGCCAGGAACTCCCTCTTGGAGAGCGTCAGGTTGTCCCCTTCCCGTCCCGCGTACCGCTGGAAGACGGCCAGCAGGGACTCAATGCAGCGCTCTGTCTCGGTGGGCTGTGGGAGGAAGAGCACGTTCAGGCCAGTGTTGTGAGGAGCCGCGGGCTCACGGAAGAGGAACCTCACTCTGTTTCTGGAGAGAGGTTGGGCTGGAGGGGTGGGGGGGACCTTACGATTGCTTTTCTTCTCCTATGCCCAACCTGTCCAGCTGCATTTTTCTTTGCTATTAATTTCTCTGATTGCCTCGGTGCGGGAAGGACCCAGAGGTTTGGGGAGTGGTTCATGGAAAAACCCCTGGGGAGCTGTCAGCTCCCATCGGAGGAGTGTCTTGGACTGGAAAGAGCTTACGCTTGCTGCAACCGCAGAGACGTGCTAGTTTTTTCCATGCTCTCCTGCCCGGCTTGGCTGGAAACAGAAAGCCCATCTCCCCCTTTCCCTCCCCCTGCCCTGCCTGCATGAAGGAGAAACTCTGAGTCACGAGAGAACAATGCGAGCCGAGTTGGCTCCCCGAACTCCTGCCTCCGGGCAGGGACAGAGCCAGGCTGGCCTGGGGTCTTCTGCAGTGGGGATGGACAGGGCAAGGTGGGGAGGACATGGTGGGGGGGGCTGTGGGGCTCCCCGCCCTGCATAGCTCCAGTCTCTGGGGAGCTGGGGGTGCGGGGAGAGCTGGGAGGTGTCCACCCTTCCCTGCCCAACCTTAGCATCCCGGGGACTCCCTGCCACATCCTACGCTGCCTGAGGCTCGTTTCAGCCTTTTTTTGGTTAACATGAGAGGAACCAAGTTGCTTCCAGCCTCAGCCACAGCCCCTCAGCTCCTCTGCCCCCCCACAACCCCTCCGGTGCTGGGGGGTTGGGGGGGGGATGGTGGAGGCAGAGCTGCAGCCCCAAGTTTGCCAATGGCTGTCAGATGCACCAGTGGGGAAAAAGGAGCGGAGGAAAAGCGGGTGGAACACCCTAACTGCCACTCCCTGGTCTCCCCTGTGTCCCCCTCCAGGGACCCTCTGCCCTCCCTCTCCAGCTCTGCACCCCCTTCCCGTGCCCCAGCCCCCTCCCAAGCAGAGATTTAGCTCAGCCCTTGGCACCGGCTGCTCTTTCCCATGCCAAAACCGCATCTCGCCTTCAGCTCTGGGGCCGCTTGCGGGAAAACCACCTCTGCCACCGTCGCCCTCCTGTCCCGAGGGAGCCGTTGTCCCTCCCCAGCCCGGGGTCCCGGCTCACTCACCATGGCTGGGTTGCGAAGAAGGCGGGGGGGGCTCGATCCTCGGCAGGGCCGCGGGGCGATGTGGCAAAGCCGGAGTCGGGGCGGTTGTGAGCCTCACACTGCGGCCACCGCCCTTCCTGGCACAGCCAGCGCCCAGCCCTGACTCAGCCCCCTGGCCTGCCTTGGGCAAGCGCGGCTCTAACGGCAGATCTGGACGTGCCTCTGGTCCCCAGCTCAGGCTCAGGAATGCGCTGGGCCCCTCCTTTAGACTCTCTCTGTCCCCTTCCCCTCCCCAGTTTTATTCTTCACGGTTATTTACGCTCGCATTTTCTCCCTCTTATCTGTTTTTGCCCCTTGATCCTTTGAAATGTGTCCCTTTACGACTCCCTTCGTTTCATCCCCAGGTTCTGGGCTAACTGTTCCTCCCCCCTGCCCGGGCTGCCCGGAGCATCCTCCGCGTTTTCTCTTGCTACGGCAAGATTTGGGATTCCCCAGCCCAAAAGTAGAGCAGGCAGTGTTCCTCTGCCCACTGTCCTGGCTTCAGGACCAATTTCTCTTCTAATGCTTGGGAAAACTGAACTTTTACAAGACTCGAGTGTCTGAATTTGTGAGAATATTTACTTTATAGCCAGTGATGGTGTGCGGGTTTCAAGGTCTTGGTGTTTTTGAGCTCGCCAGGTGTGGGGATAAGGAGGAGCAAGACCTGGGCACTTGACCCAAGCTGCCCAACAGGGTTATTTCATACCATGAACGGCACACTCCATAGAAATTAGAAAGTTAGCTGAGGAGTTTTCTATGGTGGCTGCCATCCTGAGAACTCCTTGCCCCTGTGCCGGAGCCCCGAGCCCTTCCCGTCCTCCCAAAGCCACAGCACTGTCCCACATTTGCTATCCCCTGCTTCTACGGGTAGAATGGGCTGAGGGTAATCCTTGTATATGTTATATTGGTATCGGGATCAGTATTGGCTCTTTAGAGTTATTAATGTTAATTATCTAGCCTTACTCTATTAAATCTGTTTATATTTCAACCCTCAGTTTTCCTTGTTTTTCCCCAATTCCCCTTCCTAGGTGGGGAGGGCTCATCAGGTGAGAGAATAATTGTCTAAACGATACTAAATTGTGGGTTTCTCAAACCCTGACTCTGACACAGCTGGGGCTGCCCACAATCTGCCCCTTTCCCCCTTCAACCCTGACCGCTCCTGCCTGCTGAGCTTTCCTGGTGACGCCTTGTCACCTTCTCATGTTGTAAAAAGTAGGGGAAAAGGCGGCCCCGTAGCCTTGGGGTGCCGCCCTGGGAGCCGGCTGCAGCCGGGATTTGCCCCCAGTGGGTCTGAGCTCTCGCACGGAGCCGGCCGTGCTCATGCCGCTATGGAGTGAGAGACCCCGAAGGGCTGAAAACTGGGAGACATGGAGGTAGAGGAGGGACAGGAGCCACCCAAAAGGCACCCAGAAAGGCAAGTGATGCTCCCACAAATCTCAGAGCAGGGAGGATGGGGGCTGTGGGGCTTGTGCTGCTCAGAAAGCAGCACACGGGGCCATGGTACCCGGCTGCTCCTTGTCTGTTGGGAGCCACCGAACCTGCTGGGACACGTGTGTACCTGTGTTTGCACAGCCATCCCACGGTTGCGGCACCCATCTCCACGCCTTTAGCCACTGGCACTAATGCGGAATTGCCTGCCCAGGGCCGGATTTCCCTGTCACTCCTGGCCCCGGGTGCTGCTGCCTTTCCCTGAAAGCTTCAGGGGGAGCCTGGAGGGGAGAATTTGGGGGGTAACGCTGGCTGGCCCCACAGGGCTGGGACACTGGGATGTGCTCTGGGATCTGGGATGGCTTCCAGGGACGGGGCTCTTCGGGAAATCCTGCTGGAGACCGTGACTCAGCACAGGGCAAGAGAAAGGGAAGCAGTAAATTTGCGGGGGAGACCATCCCCAATCTGTTTTCCTTTCCTGCCCCAATTTCCTGCCCCCAAACTGTCCTTTTTTTGCCAGGTATTGGGGGGAAAAGGTACTTTCCTCCTCCCTGCGCCCCCATCCAACCCCTCCCAAACTGGAAACAGTTCAGTCCATGTAAATCGAAAGGATTTTCCAAACCTGGGAGCTGAGGGTGGGAAACCCGCTGCTTTTCTCCTTGGATTTTGGGGGGAGGTGGGGGCCCAGCACCCCGTCCTGGCTGCAGTGGGGGATTTCAGGAGGTTTCTGTTTCTTGCTGCTGCTGTGTGTGTGTGTGTGTTTGCAGTCGAGGCTTTGGCCACGTTCGCAGACAGACCATCTGCGCTACCATATGTTTGTCACCCAGACGTGCGACTCTCACGTGTGCGCAGTGGGCAGTGCTGAGAGCATCGCTGAGAGCATCATCACCCCGTGCATCTGCCTGCCCCTGGCCGGGGCAGACCCTCCCGAGTCCCTCTGGCACTGGGTTCAAAATGTGACAGGATGGTGACCGTGGCTTGGTGAGCAAGAAGCATCAGGCTACGGTGGACCTGAGATGTCCTTGTTCCTCCCGGCCGGCCCTGGTACCAGCCTGCTTGCATTAATAGCAGTACACAGATGGGGCCAGGGTTGTCCGCGCTTCTCTCTCTCTCTCTGTCTTCTTGCAGAACTGCACCCCCATCTGCTGCTGAGAGAATTGGTTCTCTCTTGCGCAAGACAAGGGAATAAAATCTGGTTTTCTCCAGGGAGGGTGATGGATGTCTCCATCTCCAGCCTTGTGCACCACGTGTGAAATCCGGTGTGTTTTCCGTGCCGTGCTGCTGCCTCTCTCCTGCCTAAGGATCCAGGAGCGGTCCCAGGTACGGGGCAGCCCAGGGGAAAAGGCAGATGGATGCACATGGCCAGGAAAATGCGGGTCTGGATGGCTCTTAACCAGCAGTGGCTTTGCACCACTGTCCCTCCCCGTAGCGCACAGGCACATCCGTGTGTTCCCACGAGGGTGTCTGATCGCAGCGTGTGCTGTGGTGGGAGCCCCTGAAATCATGCAGGTTGGTGGTGAGGGCCAGCGTTTTTGAGGTATGCAGCCTCTTAGACATGTAGTTGGGAAAATTTGGTGGGATTTTCAGCAGCCCCTGGCTGGATTAAGTGCTTGGGATCAGGAGGAGTGTGTGATCTGAACTGGGACACCCTCCCTGCAGGCTGAGGCCCTCATAGCAATTAGATGCAGGGATGAAGGATGGCAGCAGTCAGTGCAGTCATTGGTTATTTATTCTGATTTTTCATGCAATACATCAGTGCAAAGAAGAAAGAGACCCCCCACCCACCACCGTTACCCTGCAGTAACCACAGCATAACTCAACTGCTTCAAAGCCTCTGGGAGGTTGGAGCAGGGATTCTGCTCAGCTGTTAGGGGAGCGGAAAGGTGTAACCAAGAGCATGGAGTCTACAAAAGTGCTTCCCCCCACTCCCAACCTCAAGGATTTTCAGGCCCCAGAATCTGATTGATCTGCTGGGATTTTTAATGTTTTTTTCCACACAGCACAGCAGAAGCTAACAGGAGAGCCAGTCATGGGGCTAGGGAGACAAGAGAGCAGGGAGATGCAGAACAGTCATGCCACAGGGTAGAAGAGATGACAAAGACATAGAGGACAGGCCCAAGGAATCCGATTAGAGCAGAAAAGGGACTACATGCTGCATTAAGGTAGATAGACATAGTGCAGGAAGGCAGAAGATGCAGATCTTGGGGTAACTCTCTGCCTACCTAGCTGCTGAGGATTTTTTAGATGGAAAACCCCCAAACCCACTTGACACCCTCACAGAGCACCCCCTTAACCCTTTTGGTGTCGAATGTTTCTGTACCACCACATGGTGACATCCTAAGCTGAAAGCAGAGAGCAGAAGCGATCCTCAAAGAGACTTGGAGAAGCCCCAGCAGCTCCAGGGAGAGGACTTCGCCTTAAGATGTCTTGGCTTCGTCCATAGCAGGATGGCTCGGGGCCTTCTGCAAGACCGGGGGGCCCTGGCTCTGCTTGGTGCAAAGATGTGGTTCCTCCTCCCGTTGAGGCTGGGCATCGCTGCCTTGCTGGGGGCTCCTCTTGCTGTACTCCTCTTGCTGTGGCTGGTGGCTCTTCTCTGGTGGGGGAAGCTCTGCATCCTCATGGCAATGGCTGGCTTCATCTCTCCGGGATGGTTGGGGACAGCTCTCTTTGGCAGATAGCCGGCCCGGCTCACAAGCTTCCTGTGGTTCCAGAGCCTGCGGAAGAGGTGGACAGCTCTTGGCCTCCCTGTCCTCATGCTCCCTCACCTGGCAGCTGGATTCGGGATCCTGTGGGACCTGCTCCCTGGCAGCTTTTGATCCATCTTCCTCCTTCTCTTCCACGTCAGGCATCTTGGGGCGCTGGCTGTGCCTCCTGTCCTCCTTGGGCTTTGCCCGGTAACGGTCACCCTTAACACTATTGGGATCGGAGGCAGGAATGTGGTGAGCACCTTCCTTCACCCCTGTTTCAGGCCTCTCCTGTAGCTCATGGAGATCCCCTGTGTTTTCCTGGGAGTTACAAGCTGGTGTGCTCCCTTGCCGCAGCAGTCTGGGCTCCCCTGTTTCTTGCTCATCACTTTGGGATCGTAGCTCTGGGTGGTTGCTTGATTCACACGGGAGTGCCGGTGGCTGGGGTGACACGTAGCATTTCTTAACATAGATGGGCTGCTCCTGGTTGTGGGGCTGGTGGCAGATGATCTCATAGGTCGTAGCTTCAGGATCGTTCAAATTCTTGACCACGTGAACCAAGTAAGCAATGGACTGAGGATCGCAGGATTGAGAGACAATCTGCACCTCTGGCCGTATATCGGGATTGGCAGGGATATAACGGACTCTCATATCAGAGACAGAGGCCTGCTCTCCTGGAGGGCAAAGGTCTCTGTTATCCACATCAACAGTTTGATAGAGGCTCTTCTCGGGTGTCCGTCCTTCACCTTCAGTCTCTCTTCCCCGGCAAATCCTCCTCTCGTCCTCTGCTGCTTCGCACTCACGGGGACGATCCCTCCTTGCCACCTCCTCACGGGCCTCCAGTTCCCGGGACACACGGTGGATCTTCACGTCAGCTTCTGCTTCCACTAAGGCGGTCTCGCGTGTCCTTTCGTATCTCACCGACTCACGGTGGCTCCT